CAAGGGACCTCAGCACCTAGCCTCTGTATACTTTGGTTACTTACAATGTTTTAGATGTCCCTGACCTCAAGAGTAGCCTTCATCTGGGACCAGCAGTTAGCATAATGGCTATGTCACTGGACTCCCATGTGGTCGACTGTGGTTCAAGTCCAGGACCCGCTTAAACTCACACGTGCCCAAGATCCCGAGAGAATGGAGAAGGGATTGCGGTGTCACCATCCCCCCTGGGGGGTGATTTCTCGCTTTCTGTCTATCTGTCTCTGTCTTTCTGGCGAGCACACGTGCCCTACAGCAAAAACCTTTCCAAAAAAAAAGAGTAGCCTTCACCTGAACCTTTCACGGACGTTAGTATAAGGTAGTATTTGATAGAAGTACTAATGTAAGTCAGCGTTTGATACAGCATTAGGGTTTGCTCATCTAGCGCAGCTGCCCTTAGGAAGCACTGTGAGGGCCAGAGCAGGGCTGTGGCATGTCCAGGGTCATGTGGCCAGCCAGTGCTGCCCAACGCTCCATCCTTGAATCCACCAGCAGTGGATGCTTTCTGGCCCTGGTGGTGGCTGTGCCCACTCTAGGGGCTTTCTGCTGCCTGTCAGCTGGGTTCCTGCGACGTACATTCTGAGCTTGTCTTGTGTTTCATAGACACCTAGCACCTCTCGGAAGTCCTTAGATGCCCCCTCATGGCCGGGGGTCTACCGCCTATCCATGTCCTTGATGGAGAGGCTGCTTAAGACTCTGCGCTACAACTTCTTGACTGAGGCCCTGGACTTCGTGGGTGTCCATCAAGAGCGGACCTTACAGGTCAGGGGCTGCCAGCATCCCCAGGGTGGGGTCTTGGGGTCAGAAAGGGTCTGGGCCACCATTCGGGGCAGGAAAGTATGGAGCTTGAGGCTCAGAGGTGAGGTGAAGGGTGTTGATGCCTTCGTTTCTGAGGTGCTGTAAGACTGCTGGCCAATTGGCAGCCCGACTGCTAAGTGAAGAGGATGGTCTTGGCCCAACGTGGACAGAAACTGTAACTGTCACACTGAGCCGTGTATAATACTGCCTCCTCAGCATTTGTGGGCTGAGGACCTGTCCTCCCCACAGGAGGGGAGGTGCAGCTGGGTCAGGTCCCTGAGCTACCCCCCTCTCCCCTACCCAGTGCCTCAACGCAGTGAGGACAGTGCAGAGTCTGGCCTGCCTGGAGGAGGCAGACCACACCGTGGGCTTCATTCTGCAGCTCTCCAACTTCAGGAAGGAGTGGCATTTCCACTTGCCCCAACTCATGTGTGATGTCCAGGTGGGGGGTCTCAGACATGGCTTCCTGGAGGTTCTGGGGAATGCCTAGGGACTGGGAGGCCATGGGCACACCAGGGAATTTCGATCCCTTCTCAGGGGTGGGCTTTCTGCTTGGGGAGCACATTTGTTTTCACCTTCCTTAGTCTGGCTAAGTGTTGCCTTCCACAGTGGAGGGCAGTAGGACAGTAAGAATTTGGCCTGTTGGACCTTGGTTTGGATCCTCAGGAGCCGCCTGAAGCTGGGAACCAGCCACTGGGGGTGGGGAAAGAATGCGGGCTCTTGGAGTCAGGCTTCTGTCATTTGCTGGTCATGTGACCTTGGTCAAGTCACTTCTCCCTGTCTCCCTCTTACTTTTTTTCTTCTACAAAATAGGAACGGTCTCCATTTTCTGTATTTACTTAGAACCTTGTAATTTGTAGGCAGTTGGCTAGGTCTCGGGGAAGCAGGCCTGAGCCTTCAGCCCGAGTTTGCAGTCTCGCTCCTTAGTGGCTGTGGGTAGGTGGGAGGTGGTGGGTGTCAGCCAGTGGAGAGCAGAGTGTCGTGAAGGGCCTTGGGCTGGTCCTCACCCTCAGCTGTGCTTGCTGCAGGTAAACCTGGGCTACTTGTGTCAGGCCTGCACCTCCCTCCTGCATAGCCGCAAGATGCTGCAGCACTACTTGCAGGTACCTGCCCTGGCCCACGACCGCCGCCGGCCTCCCCTGGCTTCTCTGGACTAACCTTCATCCCTTCCCTCTGCAGAACAAAAATGGGGATGGCATGCCCTCGGCGGTTACCCCCAGGGTTCAGCGGCCACCCATCACAGCGTCTACCGGGCCCGCTGCCCCCTCCTGCCCCTCCTCCAAGCAGCCCGCTGCTGACACAGAGGCCTCGGAGCAGCGGGCCTTGCACACAGTCCAGTATGGCCTTCTCAAGATCCTCAGCCGGACGCTGGCAGCTCTGCGCCACTTCACCCCAGATGTCTGTCAGATCCTGCTGGATCAGGTACCAGCCTCAAGGCTCCTGGGCGCTGTGTGCCTTGAGCCTCTGCTCTCAGCAGAGGCCTACTTACTCTTTTCTTGCCTTGCAGTCCCTGGATCTTGCTGAATACAACTTCCTGTTTGCCCTGAGCTTTACCACCCCCACCTTTGACTCTGAAGTGGCCCCCTCCTTTGGGACACTTCTGGCCACAGTGAACGTGGCTCTCAACATGCTTGGAGAGGTAAGTTGGGCACTGCGAGACTCCAGCCCTCCTCCCAGCTCTCCCACCCAGTCTGCTGTTTCCCAGCCAGCCTCAGGCACGTTTCCCACCTTCCCCAGCCTATTCTTGGTAAAATTAATCTACCTCTAAGAATTATTGTGAGGACTATACTGAGGTAACTAGTGAGAACTTCTTAGCACAGGGCCTGCTGCTAAGAGGCTCTCAGTAAGAAGGAGCTGTAAGAACAGATCAAGAGTTCAACAGCAGGGGTGGGGGCTAGGTCCTCTTGTGCTCAGGCCCTCTGCTCGAAATGCCCCGGAGGGGTCCCTTCCTTTGAGCGTCCGCCCCAGGGAGACAGGCTGGCTGCACAGCTCCTGTTACCTCAGTGTGATACGGCTTGCTTCTCTTCCCCAGCTGGACAAGAAGAAGGAGCCCCTCACCCAGGCTGTGGGGCTCAGCACACAGGCAGAAAGGACAAGAACATTAAAGTAAGACTTGCTCTGAGACCTGAAAGGGAGCTGGGGCATTTGGGTCCACCGTGCCTTGGCCACATGGCTCACCTGGCACTAGCTTGGCCCTCCCCAACAGAGCCAATACCTGCCCCTTCTGCAGGTCCCTGTTGCTCTTCACCATGGAGAACTGCTTCTACCTGCTCATCTCTCAGGCGATGCGCTACCTTAGGGACCCGGCTGTGCACCCCCGGGACAAGCAGCGGATGAAGCAGGAGCTCAGCTCTGAGTTGGTACTGCTGGATTGGGGGCTCCAGAGGGAGGGGTGGGCCAGCAGGGAAGGCATCCCCGAGGTACCCGGGCCTCAGCAAGCCTTTTTTTCCTCATAGAGCACACTGCTTTCCAGCCTCTCGCGCTACTTCCGCAGGGGAGCCCCCAGCTCCCCCGCTGCTGGCATCCTCCCCTCGTCTCAGGGCAAGTCCACCGCTCTGTCCTCCAAAGCCAGCCCTGAGAGTCAGGAGCCTCTGATCCAGCTGGTGCAGGCCTTCGTCCGGCATGTGCAGAGATAGGACGGGGGCTGCAGCCCACCTGCGTATGCCACCAGCCTACCCAGCAGCCCCGCGCAGGTGCTGCCATCGCGGGCTTTCTGTGACCAGGGCAGCCCTAACCCCAGCCACCTGCCGTGGACATTATTTTTGTAACAGATCAAGAGTTCAACAGCAGGGGTGGGAGGCCAAGTCTGCTGTGCTCAGGCCCTCTGCTTGGAATGCCCCAGAGGGGTCCTTCCTCTGTACGTGCCCCCAGGGAGAGGCCCAGAGAGAGGCAGGAGCCAGCAGCATGGCAGTCCAGGAGAGAGGTTGGGTGCACAGGTTTGAAATCTGTTTTCCATGATTGGTTCCTGCAATTTTTGGTAATACTGTGGTCTATTTATACAAATATTAAAATGTTGTTTATAGGCTTCTGTGTGATCTGTGCCTCCAACCCCAGGAATGACGAGCCAGCCCAGGCTGGGAATGGGCGGCAGTTTGGCAGAGGCAGAGCAGTCATCACAGACTACTCGCCCACACCATCTGCCCTGACCCTGGGGGGGTGTGGGGTGCTGTCAGGTGCCCCCTTCCTTGGCCTACCCAGCTCCTATGCTGCCCCCAGGACTGGCCATGCTCCCCGTGGCTGTGGCCTCCTGAAGCTCTGCTCCTTCCTGTTCTGGCTCACCCCCCCAACCTCCTCATCCCTCTCTGGAAGCCCCAGCAGTGGGCCAACCAGCCTTGGCCTCCTCAGAGAAGCAAATCGTGTAACAGTTCTGTTGCTGGGCTCCCATGCAGACAGCTGTGGTTCAAGTCCTGGCAGCTTGAAACTCAACTGGGCACATGGCGGGGAGGGGGGTGATTTCTTGTTTCCTGTGTTTCTGGCTCTCCAATGAGTGCATGCACCCTGTAGCAAAAAAATTCTTTAAAAAAAAAAAAAGGCAGTGAATGCTGGACCCCACTGGGGCCATCTAAAACGTGGCTATCACCTGGGGCTTCCTGAATCTGGCTGACCTGGGCTTGAATCCCTGCGTGGCCACTGGTACCTGAGGTGGCAAGTGGCTGACTTTTCCTCCCTCACCTGTACAACCTGGATGTACAGCATGGTGCAGGAACACATGGGCACAGGCCCAGGAGTGCCAACAGTGATCCGTTACTCAGCGTAAACTGCTGGGGAAGTTCCGCAGCCCAGCCCACAGCCCAGGCAGGTCTGTCTCAGGAATGGATGAGCACAGCGCAGTTCCTGGAGAGCAGAGGAAGAGCCACCCCGCCAGGGTGGTGCAGGCCTTCGGGGAAGAGGGCAGACCTAGGAGGGTGTAGGCCCCGCCCAGGAGTGCCTTCCTTTCCCTCTTCCTGCCCCGTCCACCACCTTTTCCCACCTGACCCAACAGGAGCTGGGCGATGGAGCCAGGCGACTCGCACACGAGGATTTATTCATCATTGGCTAGAGCAAGCAGACAGGCAGAAGTAAAAACACCAGTTAAAAAGTGAGTGGAGAGGTGAAGGCTATCGCCGCCGACATGGCGTGAGCTGTGAGACGCAGGGGCGTAGCACCAGGCAGTGGCTGTGCCCGGCGCCCCCGCCACCCGGCCCCCCGCCACGCCGCTCTCCCTCAGCCTTTGGCAGCAACAAAGCGGGCGCTCTCCTTGCCAAGGTGCACCCAGGCTTCCTGGGCCATCTGCGACTGCCCCACCCTGGCCTAGGTGTGGCCCAGTGCAGCTGCCGCAGCCCCTCATCCCTTAGTGGGAGCCAGGGGTGGGGTGCTCAGGACGCAGGCAGGGTTGGGGCGCCAGAACCATGGTCAGAAGCAGGGCAGGGTGGGGGCTGACCGGCCTCGGCTCCCTCACAGCTGGATAACGGGCACAGACAGGACAGGGTTGGTGGCCCCATCCCGTAGCTGTGTCACCAACAAAATTAAGTGGCAGGGCTGCACCGTCCTCTCCTGCCCTGGCCAGGTGGCAGGGGCCCGGGAGGGGCCTGCTTAGCTGAGCAGTTCCAAGTAGGTCACCGGGACCTTGCCCTTCTTGTTGCCTCTCTCACCGATGAGCCAGTCAGGGTCCATGCCCGGCAGGCTGTAGACAGTGATGAGCTGCGGGGAGGGCAGAGGGCAGGTCACACCCAGGCCAAGGGCAGATCTGGCCCCAGGACTGGTGGTGACAGCCATCTCCTCACATTGAGTACCATTGCCCCCAGTGGTGGGTCTTCCCCTCAGCCGCTCACTGCAATGCTTAGGGATGGCTTCCTCAGGGCTAGGGCTGACCTCTCAGCACCCCATCCAGCCCTCCTCCAGATCCCGTGGACACTCCAAGACAGTGGACGTGGCTGGCACCTGTGGGCCCAGCATCCCAGCCCCAGTTCTCTGGCAATTCCTAACAAGCCTGTCCCCTCCTGGCGCCCAGCCCACCTCATCAGCCAGCAGGGCCAGCTCACTGCTGTCGGCCGCCTCGTAGTCATAGAGCACCCGGGCCTTGCGTGTCCCACTGGCGGGAGGCGCCACCTCCTCCAGGCAGAGGGCCGCCTCCCCAGGAGGGGCCAAGCCAGCCACAGAGGGTACCACAGGCATAGTGGCTGGAGGGGTGGGGGGGG